TATAAAATGTAAAAATAATATATATAAAATTTAATAGTAAAAAATTATTTTTAATAATAAAAATACAAAAAATATACATAAAAATATACATTTTTAATTACATAAATAAAATTTAATTTATCAAAATATTTCTTTTTTTTTACAAATTATTTTTTTCATTAAAATATAAAAAATATATATATTTTTAATTATACAAGTTAATTTTAAATTAAAAATGTACAAAATAAGATTCTTTTTATTCTTCGTTATTTTTTTATTTTTCATTAACTATTAAATAATTAATGTTTTAGGAGCATCATTAGCAAGCACGAATTCCAGACCTAAATTAACAACTTTAAATTACGCGCGATATATTTTCCTACTCCCAAGAAAGTCAAGATGGCGGCAACGCCAATGCGCATGCACCAGTTCCTGAATGGTCGGGCAAAAACACAGCTGGTCTATGATCTCCGAAGCAAGCTGACGGTTGAACGCTATCAATGTGATTTTCGTGAAATTCTTACCGATCTACCGGTCAGATCGTGAGGTCAAGGCAGGCGTGCGTGAAAATTTGTTCAGTGCTCGATTTATAGTGTTAGTGAGTGTGTTTAGATGTATGCAAAACTTGTTAATCGCGGTGTCACCACGAGGATTTTTCACTGCCCTGGATACAAAGGAGTTTCGTGAGGTGCTTCGAGCGTCCTTTCGGTAAGTTTACAATTTCTACTTGAGAATTTGTCGCATCGTGGTTTTCTTCATCGCATGTGGTATCGAATTTTTAATCAATCCTCAGAGCCGAGTGACCTTTTTCAATCTACCGAACGTCTATATCGCGTGTCTACATAATTTTCTTTGATTCTATTTTTTATAATAACAATTTTTATAAGAAATCGAGCAAAAAAACATAAAGTTTATCGTATATTTCGTAAAATAAATTCTAAAAAAATTTGCAGTCGAAACGATATTTCAAATAACGTAAAGGATACGGCATCTTTAGAAATAGGTCAGAATAAAGTTTTCGTAATCTAGTCATAAGATTCTGAACAGGTATCGCTTGTTGAGAAAGAAAGAGATTTTTATCGTGAGTTATCTCTTTGCATATGGGATTCTTGAAAATGAGCTATCTTTGTTATCTTACACGCTTGCTGAGAATTATACTTCTCCATTCAATTTTTTGTTTATTATGCAGCGTGTTCCTGTACATTGTGGCTGTTTACTATCCATAGACGAGAAATTTCCAACATTGTGAAGAATATTCTATGCATAACAGGATCTTATGGTAAAAGGATACATCTTGAAATTTTAATCTTCCTTTTGTCGTCCGGTCGCCGTCGCCGTCGCCGTCGCCGTCGCTCGTTTTCACTGATGTTTACATGTAAACACAGCTGTGCCATAATTCCATGGATAACGTTATCGTGCCACCGTAGTATCTATATATCGAGGTCTTGAACCTCGGCGTCTGCACAACTATTTTTATATCCTCGATGTGTTCTGTCACCGCGCGCGCGGCATCGGACGAAAGAGGAATCCGGCTGTTGTCGAGCGGTGCACAACCGTGCTACAGTCCTTAGGACTTTGACCTTGTCCTATGCAAAATGATACCTCTCGTTCATCATGCTTTTAATCGGTGTGCCAATTAACGAATGGATAATTCTACGGCGACAAGTAACAAACCGATTATTCGCTAATCATTGTTAAAAATACATTTTCCATTTATTTCTTTATCCTTCTCATTTCATCTCATTTGATTCGATGTCTTTCATTGTATTTGTCTCTTTCTTTTTCACCCTTATTGTTTCATGGTATCGATGCCATTATCGTTGAACTTCGGACGTTTACTTTCGATCTCCAGTTTTTCAGCATCGATCGGTGCATACACGTATTACACAGCACGGCAGAATGGCTTAGCTACCGATATCCATATATATAGGGTGTTTCAGAATGAATGCGTGAAATTCATTATTATTCATAAACCTGTCTTGAATATTAGTTAAATCATAAATTATATTTTTGATACTTTTAAAATAAAATAAATACATAATATGCACGTAATATAGTATAAATAAATATAGTATAAATATAATATAAAAAATTCAATATTATTTCGAGACTGTATATCATAGTAAATAAATCGATTCAACTAATAACAATATATCGTTTGGCAGCATATGATCAGCAATACCAAAAACAAAGAGCAGCTCATTCTTTTCGAAATGTTAATTTCAACTCGCCAGCTGTTACCATTCGATACCAGACTCTTATTTGTAATTAATCGGTTTAAAAATGCACACCCGTTCATGACACAAGATTATGGTATCAGATTTTGTAATATGCGTATTTCACTCGAGATTCAATTCCGTACGTTCGTGAATTTTCTCGATTAAATTTCAATTGGTAAATTTAGCTATGCAGAATGCAAAAGAAACTATCAAAAGTTTTTCCGCTTCCGTCAATTGGATATTTTTATCGATTACTTTTTATGTAATATTTTTAAATAAAATATTAACGTAATCTCAAATAGCAATAATAATAAAAAAAAATTTAACGAACCTGTTACAATTTCAAAAAATAAAAAAATAATTACTGTATTTCAATTGTTGCATTCTGCACAATAATTAACACATAAAAAATTTGACCACTTATTATAGAGCATAGTATTAGAAATAAATCTATTGACCAATCAACGATCATGAAGTTAGACTAGAAACAAAAAAGTTCGTCTTTAATCTGCGACAGAAATTTATTTCACTAGAAATGGTATCTCATTTGAGCAAGTTTGCAGAAAGCAAAAGAAGAGAAAGAGATTAAAACGAGCATATAAAAGTGGAAGCGAAAGCGAAAAAATTTTTTCAATTTTCGTTCACTGAAAGAAAAATTATATGTATTTAATGTACAGATATAAATTTTTGATGAGCGAGTCGGATCGTAAATTCTTCTGTTCCCCATATATTTTTTATAAGAACCTCGTTGTATCCTTAAACTTCGAGGGTTAGACATTTTGTGCGAAAATATACGAGAGGATTCATTTTAACCTAACGAAAGTTCACAAATTTAGTAGTGACCTCTATAAATTCTATGGTATTCGTGCATCACGGAAAGATGTCGCTCTGACTTGCGCGATTTAGTAATTCGCCGGTCGAAAGATTCGATCTGTGGACATATTGAAATCGAAAGTCACGTAAGCACGCGTATTTCGTTAATAGTGAGCTTGATTCTTTTTTTGCGACTCTTGCATTTCTTCTTCGCGGTTACGTAATAGTTTTTCGTGCCTGTAATCATCCTTAGAGTGCAGTATCTTCAAAATAGAATGGAAGAAATGACCGAATTAATTTAAGCGTGGTCTGCCTGGTCAGCGTCAAGCGAGCTGACTTCAAATGCCGCCATTACTTGTCATTGTAATACTATGACTTTCACAATGGCCCGTTATATTTGAAAGACTTTAATATTGTTATTCTTTTTTTCACGTTGAAAAATGGATTTGTCAATTTTTCAGGTAGGATAAATTAGGAGGATTTTTATATTTTATTATTTGTATTTGAATAGGTGTATATATTCTTAATATAATTATTAATTGCATTTTATAGATTTTTTTTTAATTTAGATATTCAAATATCAATTTTAATATAATGAATATGTAAACTGAATTTGATGTTGCTTAATATTGCTCTTTTAAATATGATAGTATTCAATATTTCATTATGGATGCTTGACCATTGGAAATGTGCAATAAATGTAGGACAATAAATCATGGCGTAGCCTAGTTTTTTATCGTACGATTTAAACTATTAGCTGTGCATATAAATGACATATGTGATCGTATTGTCAATTATATATTTATATATAAATTAGATGCACTAATTTATGTATAAATGACCCATTATTTATTCCTTCTTAATTGTCTTGTCATTGTTGAATATTAATATTATTTTATTAATTTTTTAAATTTATAATAAAATCGTCATAATATTTAAAAATGTTATTAGACTTCCTTGAAACCAATTTGAAACTATATTACATTCCTTTTAATATTGATGAATAAATATATATTTAATTGTATTTATTTTTTGTATCAATCTAATAAAAAATGATTATTAATGAATAATCATTTTTTATGAATATTCACGAATCACAATTTTAATGCGACCCATCTGTGTAGCCATATGGTTTTTTTTATTGTATTTTTTATTGTTTCTGCGTATACCTAGTAGAGATTGAATTTCTGCATACAGTGTATGCAAAAAATTTTTTGCTAAAATACTTTTAAACATTTATATATAATTTCTTTTATTATATTAATTAATAAACATTACTTTCTATTATATTGTGTGTCTAAAAAATCCTATATTCTATTAAAAAACTTTGCTAGTTTTAGGATATAACATATAATATAAACTAAAACATTCTTTTTTTTTTAAATTTCAACAGCATTTTT